AAAATCATAATGGCCAAGAAAACATGAATTTCATCACTGGTAGTAGGGGTGCCATTTGTTTCTGTCATTATTGTGTGACCAGGATGCTTGCATCAAACACTGTTCTGCAAATCTGTTAGTTTCATTTTTTATTGCATCAACTAGTTCCTCATCAAAAAGGTAAAAATAGAAAGTGGAAACTAAAAAACAAGAGAAAAAAAAATAGGTACTTGCGTCATTTCAAAAATGGATGTTGTGGAAATGGTATAATGATGCATAGAATGCTTTGAGACAGGACAGGTCCTTTTTTCTTTAGAAAGACAAATAATAATAGAGTGTATCTGAACTTTGTTGCTGTATATGTCCAGGTCATAATGCAGAATTTTCATCTTGATTAATAAAAGGGACCTTCCAAAATGGCAATGCAACAATTCACTATCCTTTTATTAACACACTGATTTGAAAAGCACAATAATTCATCTTCCTTATCCAGCTCAATCATTGAATTTCATTTGAAAGGAGAATTTTGGGGATAAATTATTAGTTGCATTCACCATCATAATCTTCCTTTATAAATAGAATATGATAAAAAAAACATCTTCTGGCATCTCGTGGAGTGTATTCCGTGCTGAGTCCAGGCTATTTACTGTGGTGAGAAGTGGTCAAACCAGGTATTAGGTGGGGATACTAATAAATTAAGCAATCACTGTAGTTTTGTTAATATAGAATTTAAACATTGTTTTAAAAACATTTTAAGAATTCTGACCTTGACTTTTATGTATATTTAAATTTTTTGTTTGGCAAAAACCTGTTACAACACAATATAAATCAATGTCTACAGTTAAATCCATAGTGATAATGTTTTGGGTCAACAAAATGGAAAATGTAAAATAGAGGAAACTAGTAGAAACTTTTAACCTGAGTTAATGGGCATCACCGTTCTCATTAACGTTTTTTAGAACACTATAAAAATACTAGTTACAATTTTTATATTTTGAAAATTTTGAATAAGTAAAATTAAGGAATCTCTGTAAACAAATACATTGCAACAAGTTTTATCTTTTGTAAAGTAATTTGTTATATATAAATGTATGTATTAATTTCCAATCAGAGTAAGCTGTGTATTTAGGTTGGAACTAAAATATATGTATATTAGTGTTTGTCTGTGTCCATGTACTTTGTGCCTGATGATTCTGAGTTATAAATACAGTAAAATATTGCAAACGTTTTTACTTATTTCAATCCTTGTATCATTTAACCTAATGTTTTACTGTTAATCCAACACAAATGACTTAAATAATGTTTTATATTGTTCAATTCATGTAAATTTCTTACATTATGTTATACAGTTTCAGCTATCCATGTATTTCTGGATCATGATTCATCATTACACAAGGTCAGATATATTTAAGAAAAATGAATTGCCTAATACATTCTATTTAAAATTTGAAAAAAAAAACTGGACAGTTTGACTAAAATATCTAATTTTTTGTTATTGTGTGACAATTTTATTTACTTTTGCCAATAAATTAATAAGTAATATATATTTCAAAACAAATTCTTACAATATTAGGTAAAGAAGGAACAATTTTATTATTCAAGCGCATATTTACTTCATAATAATTTCCTTTCTCGGATAACAACTTTCTCATTTACCTACCATCAAATCAACCTAAAAACACAGCTACTTTCAACATTTGATATATATATACTGCATTAAAAATGTTTCAATGTTAGAGGTAAACCAATTGCCAAAACAGGAAAACATTTTGTTTTATGCAAATACTTAAATTAACTGCACATGAAAGTTTTCAGATGTTAAAATCTTAAGAAAAAAAAAATTCTGTTTAACTTTGATTTATGTTCTAATTCACATTAATATAAAAATATTTAAAATAATGTATCAATTAAGAAGACTATGAAAGTTACAACATAAAGTATATTTGAAAAATTTAATATGAATTTCTCTTCATCTGGTTTGGTTATAAGGTTTAGTTTCATGCAAGAAGACGAATAGCGAGAAACAGAAATGGACATTCCTAATAAACTAATAAAGACTTTTTCATTCTCACAGAAAGAAAAACATTTTGAATAACAAAAACTATGTAAAAAGTTAATGCCCTATGAATAAATAATACAAGTGAATTTATTACACTAACATAGATTTTATAATTCTTTCAGATCAAATCAAATATAATAATCACAAAAAATATTTCAAATTTGTGCCATTTATACATAAAATAATATACTATCAAACTTTAATTTTCAATGTTTTAAGTTCTGTTTCAGAATATCAATATAATAAATGTATTTTTACAAAAATAAAAAATTCTAACTTACAGATGATGAGTAGTTTAATATTTATGAAGTATATTCAGATGTGTAACCATCTTGAACATTATTTATAGCAATATCAATAAGAAAATAAAAACTCTCTCTGTTACAAGAAAAAATCATATTATCTTTAATGTTCCAGCATTAGCCTAACATCTATCAGTTTGTTTTCACTTGGTGCTTTTAATGTCTCTTGTTAGTACATGTCTTCATAAATGATAAGAGATAATTCCATGCACACATGTTTTGATAGCAAAGTAATGAGAAAGCTTAATTTAATACACTTGTCCTGCCTTCCTCAAGAGAGAAACTAGTTCTACTCCCAAGTCAAATGCTGTAAAGCAAAATATACTTTGTAAGTTTTTGATTTTATACTAGCAATTTTAAAATTAAATGTGCATGTGATACCAAAACTGCACATTTTAATTAGGGCTGTTCAAATAATTTTATATTTTCTTACATGAATAAGCTGCAAAAACTTGTTTCCCTGTCCTAATCATATATTTTTTGTCATTTCCTGCAACTAACTAGCAAAAAACTAAAACTTTTTTTTTAGGATTTCTTTTTCTTCATAAACACCAAATTTTCTGCATACACAACTGTTATTCCAGTTACCTGTTGCTATGTTTACTAGTGCTGAATACTTGAACCTTTTTATTTCAGTACTTCATGCTGATAGTTGACCTCCTGACATTATTATTATTTAAACAAGACTAATTGCTTTACAAATATCACTATAGTCTTCTTTCAAATATCATTACAAATAAACACTGAAATATGTTTATATTAAAATACAAAATGTTTTCTAAAAACACATTAGTATACATTTTTTGACATGCATATAATATTCTTACTTTTAGTTACATGAAAAAGTTTTATGTATGTAGGTGCATACATACTTTCCATCTTAGTTACAATTACAAATACATATTCATGTGAGAAAATAAAAACTAGCATCATACAATTCATCAGTTATGATAAAAGTTTACCGTAAAATTATTACAGCTTTTTATAAATACAATATAAATGTCAGGTCTTTTTTTGTTAATATGAAGAATAAGAAATCCAATTTTTATGTACTTTTGTTTACTTCACTCTATTGTTTTAACTGTAATTTACTGAATGATGAAAATGTTATGTTTGAAGTACAGTATTAAGAAAATAACAGTATAAAATTCTTTGGCAAATAAAAGCTATAATTCTTCTGACTTGTACAGTATTCTTACTTCAGAGTGGTTTATTAAAACACAAAAAGCTCAGGAAACTGCACAGGATATGGTGGAGGAACTGGACATATCTGTCTAAGGCAATCATCATTGTGTGCAGATGGATGTGGAGAGCTAGGTCTGCTGCACAGGTCTATTGCTGGTGGTAGTTTTCCTAGAATTTCATTCAGCTTGTTTTGTAGATCTACAGTCTGCCAGAATAAAAAACAAAAATTACTGCTGAGCAAGAAGAAGTAACACCTTCATGTTGGAAATATAATTTATATTAACAGATACTTAGTAGAACTTGTAGATGTAACTCCACTAACATTAATTGGTTAGTAAAATACAGCTGGGTTATCAGAAAAATAAATTATTGTATAATACTCACATTAAAGAAAAGCTCACATTCTTGCAAATGAAACTGTATGGTATTAAAACCAATGTTTTTTTTATCATACCTTAATCAGAGTAATGACACCAACTAAATATTATCAGTTACAAGTTTGTTGAATGACATTGCTCCAAATCTACATCTCTCTTCTCAAGATCCAATATCAAATAATCATACCTGTTGCTCAGTCTTTGCAACAAGATCCTCAAAGGCAGCAGTACGAAATTGTTCTACAACCTGTAAGCGACGCTGTTTTTCCTCCTCCTGTTGAACATCTAAAGGTTCTGCCATCATCTTCTTCAATGATGCAACAGTAATTTCTTCCTGGGGATGTTTCTAAGAAGTTGGAAAAAAGGGCAAATCAGTATAGTGGTAAAAACTATATGCAATAAAAACTTAATCAAGACAAAGTTACTATATACTTTAGAGCAACTAAAAAGACAGAATGATGGTTGACTACTTTAGAACATAAATGCTACATTTAGTTTTGATGTTTTTTTAAATCTTTAATATCTCAAAATTTACACAGAAACAAAAAGAACAGTAGTTGCTGAATAATTCTTTCTTTAAACAATAACGAATATATTAAGATTTTAATTCTAATCTTACTCGGAAAAGTCCTGGAGAGGAAGAAATACTATCCACTTCCACATTAATTGAGTTCAGGTCACTGATACTTCTGTTTACGTTAACTTCTCCTAAAAGAAGATTTTTTCCACATGAATTTTATAGTTTAACATGTACTGTAAAAACTTGGAAATTTCTAGAATTTTGATAATGATTTATAAAACAAAAGAAACAGAACACATCACTCAAAACTTACCACATTATACATTGTAAAATCTAAGAATATGTAATTATGATAATACTTTTAAAATTTAACTTTTACACTGACTGCCGTGACATTTCCTCTTCTAGAACACTGTCATGGCCAATAAAAAAATGAAGAAAAGGTACATTCCTTCAAACTTCCCAAAATTTACCAGTTTTAATTTTCAGACAAGTAAAGAAATATAGAAATATTTGTTTCGTAGTTTTCATTGTGTATCTAAAAATAAACCCGGCAGTGAAGAGACTATTTTTTATCTTTATATGTGACAGTGAAAGAGAGTTAATTAACTGGTGTAATTTAACAAATACATTATCTTCACTAAAGCACATATATTTAAAAAGAAGTTTGCTTTTACGATTCACTACATATCATACCTGTTTCATTCACAACTTATTTCACTCACAAATTTCTAACAAGAGTCACTACTACATTACCACTATGTACTATGTTACATGTACAAAGTTAATAAACCTTACACTATTCCTGTCAGAAAATGGTCATAGAAGCTCCCTGGTTATCTCAAGTATACTCTGGCCCAGTAATTTTGTAAATAGTTATCATAATACTGTGTTAAATTGGATTGCTTGTACCCCCCAAAAAAATTTCATTTTCTACAAATTCCATATTCTACCAATAGATGGCAGGACAAAGCAGGTATTTTTGTAGCCAACCTTGGATAACAGCGAGTCCCATTTATTCACAGAGGGCAGAGCTACATGGGTGTCCAGCAAAATATTTTCCAGAAAAAGGGGGGGGGACAAAGGGCAAGTAGTGTGAAATTCTGAATTGAATAAAAAATTCATATACACATGCTGAATGATTAAATAAAGAATTATGTGCTTCTTCCACCCCTGTAGACACCCATGTGGAGGTATATCATTTTGATGATTGAATTTTTGGGTTCCTAAAATGGGGAAGTGAAGATGAATTAGATGACAGTGATGCAAACGTGTCATATTAAGAAGAGAAGTTCAGATTCTGATAGCTCAGTTGATTTATCACTTGCTAGAGTTTGGACTAAAGAGAAGGCATAACCGCCTCTTATTCCACCAGCTTCATGATTTCCACACATAGGCACTTACACTGTCAATTACACAGCTGGCCCAGGTGACAGGGTTTTGCAATATTTATACCTTTTTTATTTGATGAGGAACTAGTTGATGCAATAAAAAATGAAACTAACAGATTTGCAGAATAGTGTTTGATGCAAGCATCCTGGTCACACAATAACAACAAAAACAAATGGCACCCTACTACCAGTGACGAAATTCATGTTTTCTTGGCCATTATGATTTTACAAAGTACTATACGGAAACCTGATCAACAACTTTATTGGTCAAAGAAGTCAATAACTTCCATAAACTTTATCCAACAAACAATTTCATACAAGAGATTTTGTAAAATAAATCAATACTTGCCCTTTTCAAACAATTAAGAATATAATCCATCCAAATCCCAAATTGAATAAAATATGGCCTGTTTACCAGAACCTAGTTGATAAATTTAGGAATCTGTATACTCCTGAAAGAGACATCACTATAGACGAAAGTCTCTTACTTTATAATGGAAGACTTGGTTTGGTTTAATATAT